TATCGCGTCTTAAACGCGGTTTTGTACCGATCTTGCGGGCGGATGAAAATCTGATGGTAGCCTGACTTGAGGTCCAACTTGGAAAAGTACTTGGCGCCGCCCAACCGCTCAAGCAAATCGTCAATGCGAGGTAGAGGCCCCGCGTTCTTGATGGTTTGCGCGTTGAGGCGTCGGTAGTCAATGCAAAGTCGAAGGTCCTTGTTCTTCACCGAACGAAGAGAACGGGCGCACCGTAAGGTGAGCTGCTAGGGCGAATCCAACCCTTGTCAAGTAGATCGTCGAGTTGCGCACGGAGAACCGTGAGCTCCTCCTCGGACATGCGATAAATGCATCCTTTCGGTGGCACGGCGCCGGCCTCAAGTATGATCTCGTGAGAGATTGGCCGGTCCGGCACTATACCGGAGGGTGTCTCAAAAACATCCGAGAACTCGTCTAACAACCGGGTCACACGGGGGTCGGAAGACACATCTGTGGACGATGAATCGGTCGTCGGGACGGTTCGAAGCAAAGCGATGCCAATCTCTTCGACATGCTCGGAACGGCAAGTGTCTCGAAAAGATTTGGCACTCACGACTTGGCACCTAATGGAAGAGCGAGGAGGAGGAATAGTACACGGGACCTCGGCGCCAGTTGCATCACGAATCGTGAGCGTGCGTCGATGGAAATTGACCGTGTGGTCCGCGCTAGAAAGCCAAGGCACCCCCAAAATGACATCGAAGTCGGGGTCCAACACGTCAAAAGTGACGGGCTCACATGCGTGCAGTGCAAAGTACACCGGGACAACCGAGATGTAACGGTCTAAAAGTTGTTTCGTCTTACCGTCGGCAAGAGCAACCGTCGTCGGATGTGACTTCCTCCGTACTTGTGCGCCAAGGCCAGCCCGAGTCATGAAGGACTGGCTGATGAAGTTGCGAGTTGCGCCGCAATCTAGCAAAGCGTTGTAGGCCGCTTGCCCAATCTGAATGCGAACGTAGAGCAACGGTGCGTTGTTTTCTTCGTACCGTTGCGAGACAAACTCGTGGGCCACCTTGGCAACGTAGCCAAGCATGTCCCCCACCACGACTTCGTCTACCGTCAGCGAAGTTGGTGGTGCATGGAAGGAAAAATACTCGTGTAAGAGGGCGCATAGGGCTGCGCTTTGCGGCCCCGGAAGGTTGCCCGTCGTAGGGAGAGGAATCCAAGCGAAGTCCTCGGGCGCGAGCGGGTCCAAAGCCTCCTCGTTGAACATGCTTACCGAATCCCTTGATAAAGACGAACTGGCGGAAGAACCTTCGGACGGTGAGAAAACCGCACATGTATCTTGTCCTTGAGAAGCATCCAGTGAAGGAACGAGCCAGGCAGCGAAGTCTTCGAACGAAAGTGGAAGACTCCCGACATCCGCATATGCCTCGGAAGAAAGGGCGGTCGTGCGCACAACCGCTTCCGATGGCGTCGAGGGAGGTGTCGAGTCACCCTCGGCGGCGCCTACTTTCCCTGACGGGGTTTCCCCTTGGTGGGGCAATGTGCAGCATCGTGGATGGTGCTGTTGCACCAAAGGCAGTAACGGTACTTGAGTCTCGTGCGATAAGAATTCGCCGAGAGTTCGCATTGTGCCCAAGGTTTGTCGACGGCTGATCCGGTGCTCGGTGTAGAGGTGGACTGAGTCTTTTGTTTGTCGCAGCCGTGATTGTTGCGTGGCCGGCCACCATCCCGGGCAGCTGCCAACACTTCACCCTCGTTTGGTGTTGCAGCCTCGGTAGAAGTAATGCAAGCCACCTTTGGCTTGGGCTGGGTGCCGCTCGTCGTCGCGGAAGATCGGCCGGCGTTGCGGGCTTCGATATTCGTGAGAATGATCTGTGACGCTGTGTTGAAAAGCTTTTCAGATGTGTCGAGTGTCTCTGCAATCTGCGTCAGCGCGTTTTGCAGAGCTGGACACGAGCGCATGATAAACAAGTGCTCGATGGCGCGGAATGCGAGCGGCAGGTCAGGTGTGGAGGTGAGTCTTTGGAACTCGGTAATCCGGTCCTGACTGAGCAGCGTGTTCTGATGGAGCTTGTTGAGCTTGTCCATCACTTGCAGGTCGGGCGGCTCCACTTGGAATCGCTTGTGCCAGACGTTGGTCAACTCCTTCCAGGTGAGCTTGGTGTGCAGTTCCGACACTGCTACGTCGTTGCTAGTCAAGACGTTGTCCAACCATGCTTGACACGCATCACCAGATCGGTGGTACAAGCACGGATGTCGATCGTTGTTCGAGACATGGTGCATGTCGAGCCTGAGAGTAAACTGGCGCCACCACGAGATCGGTTCCGTCTTGGACTGATCACAGAAAACTGGAATGTCATCCAGTTTGGGTGGGCGCTGGGAGGATGCGGCGGCGGGCGTCACGGTGGCAGCAGCCTGGACCTGCGTCTCCAACTGCGAGTTCGTTGCTTGCCGCGACGTCCTGAAGTTCTGATGCACACGCTTGATGTTGCTGACGTCATCCTCCAAAACTTGCACACGGGTGGTAAGGTTGGAAGGCCCTGCGGCTGCTACAGCAGCTGGCTGTTTCTCCAACGCCTGCAGCCATGCGACCATCTGGTCCACTGTCTGCTGCAGGTGAAGGATTTCCTCCTGCTGCAGAGGGCAGGTGGCCACGAGGTCGTGGGAGACCTGCGCAAGGGATGACAGCCCTTTCTCAGTTTCCGGGGCCCCGTCTGCAGATGCCTCTTCCACCCAATGTGCGGCCTCATCGCCGATCACGGTCTCCCGCGTGAACAGTCGTTCCTGCTGGCGTGACCGGTGTTCGGCTGCCGCCTGCAGGTCTGCCTCTTCTTGACGAAGTCGGTCCTGTTCCTCCTTCTGTCGCTTGGCCTCCTCCTCTTGTTCAAGCCGATTACGTTCCTTGGCCGCGGCGGCAGCCCTATCGTTGGCCTCCTGAATGAATGCCGCCAGGCGTTCCTCATAGGCCAGGAGGGATTCTCCCGCCTTCCGGTCCATGGCCTTGGTCTGTGATCGAGTGAGC